AACCTCATAAATTGGTAATATATTAATTGGTCTATATTCACTTGCTTTCTTTAGTTTTTCTATCTTAGGAATCGATATTATCGTAGATGTTTTCCAGCCCTCCAAACATATACCATTTATAAATAAATCATTTATTACTTAATAGCTCATCCTTTATCATGTGAAAGCTTATTTTTAATATATCACTAGATATTCCCTTCTTCTGTGGCAGAGTCATAACAATTTGTTTTAATTTCTGTACATTTATCAATTCAAAATTTTCAATAATGCCGCTGCTTTCTATAACATAGATAGTTCTTGTACTTTTACTATCATTTTTTCCTATGGATTCTATTATGTCCTTAATACTCTATATATAATATATATTAAATTCATTCGCTAAAGTACATTCTTCTACGTTTTCTAACATTTCAAAATCTACATTATTAATTTTTCTTGAACCCGTAGTCTCTCCTCTTATGACTTTTTTTTTAAGTTTTCCACATTATTATAGGATTATTTTTATTATCATCTATCATGTTTTCATAATATTCTTTCTTTTTCTTTCTAATTATTTTAACTACCGTATTTCTTTCAATTTTAAACTGCAATCTTGTTCATTGCCCGTATATATCGCCCTCATATATGCTTCACCCCTTTTATTGGTAGCTAATCTTATATTATCCGAATACCATTTTTTCCCTTCGCTTTATAACTTTGGAATTTTAAACTTTTTCTTTGGTGCTAAAATATCTAACGCCGTTACCATATTCTGAACAAAGGGTATAGCGGGTTAAGGAAGTGATTTCCGGCCTCGCGCGTAATCGATCGTCATAGTGGGCAAAATGTCTACCCAGATAAAAGAAAATTTTGTGCCAAGTTTTATTTCAAAAGACCCACACAATTTCAAAATATCACAAGAGATGTGATTTTTTTGATATTTTTTTTCTCCGCTAAATTTGAATTAATCTTTACAAAAAAATTCATAATTACAAAGACTACCCATATATATAAGTTTGAATTTTGTTGTCGTTCTATGCTGAAAATTCTGTTTTTAAAAAAATCTAGAATATTTTAAATCGCATTTTCTCTAGATCTAAAAAATTGGTCACTTTTAAAAAAAATTCAGTAGATAAGTCTTATGACATATTATATTCGATATTTTTTTCAAATTTTTTTATTTGGTAGAACGTGGCGGAAAAAAATAAAAATCGGTTTTTTTGTTATTTTTCGGCCTTAAATATATCCGGTTGACATATTAAATTGTTTCTAAATATAATTACTTACCTCCGATCTTACATCTGCAAACAATAGTATAAAACTTTAATGTTAGAGTTCACGTAGTTTAAACTGCAAAATTTCACTTTTTTCAGTTAGAAAATCAATTTAACTGATTTTAGCAGCTATTCCACTTTTTTTAAACAAAGATCAATTTCTAACTATATCATGCACATATAACAAACATAATAAACAATAATTAGGATACAGACCACGTAAGTGATAAACACAATTCAAATGAGAGCGCCTTAAACGGTTAAGGCAAGATCTTTGCTTCTAATAATATTTCTATGTAAATCTTCATTCCATATTTCGGTCATTTTAAATTGCGCGCCGAATTAATTTCGTGCTTGTAATGCAATCATAAACCGAAGCCGGAATAGTGAGATCACAATTAAATCTATCTTTAATACGATGCGATTAAGCATCTTAAAAAACCTACCAAAAACATTGCGAAAAATATTATCTCAGCCAAGATTTGAATCTGGGACCTGGGACCTGATAAACATGATAAACTTATTTTACACTAATATGACATCAAGAGACTTAAGATTTTGCATATATTAAGCTATATAATATCTCGTATTTCAAATAACCCAAAATTATTCGAAGAATTTAGTTTATTATTATTTGTGTATTCAAATCCTGAGATAATATTCTTCGTAATAAGTTTTTCGCAGATTTTTAAGATACTTAATCGCATCATATTTAAGATCAATTTAATTGTGATCTCACTATTCCGGCTTCGGTTTATGATTACGTTACAAGCACGAAATTAATTCGGCGCGCAGTTTAAAATGACTGAAATATGGAATTAAGATTTATATAGAAATATTAGATGCCAAGATCCAGCCTCGACCGTTTAAGGATGTTCTGGCTATACAATCCCAGACAAAAGTGACTGAAATTTGAAAATGAAGAAATTCTATGTTTTTATAAGTTAAGATATGCGACATATCGTGCTTATATCGTGTATAATCAGAAAATATGATATTTGACATTACTGAATATATGACACAAATGAATATATTTGTATATATTACAAGTTTTGACTCCAGTTATTAGATTCTGGAATCAAAAA